GACACAAAGTAGAATTAGGCAAAATCGCTGCCACTCTCTTTCCCATGGGTCCCTGATCGCTCGTCACAAGTTCGATGACTCAGACAGGACAACATGATCTCGTGCCAGGCCTCACCAGTTGCACTCCTGATACAAATTAAAATACAAACAGACCAATGAACAGAGAAGCTTTGATTGAAGAGACATAAAGCACTGGCAGCATTTAGTTCTGTCCCAACAGCACAAAACAGGCTGACATTTGGACGTAAAATGAGAATTTCACAGTGACCTTGCCTGGTAACATAAAACAAAAAATAAAGAATTTCATTACACCTGATGTTACATTAATGCTTCTTGCAGAAAAAGTCCAAGTTACTGAATTCTCATCAGTGCTCAAAAGTAGCTTCCAACACAACTCACCCACTTGACATTGGTGTGAAAAGCACAGACAAAAACACCATTACAGAAAAGTTGTGTAGAAAAAATATGTGTCTCTGTAGGTCTTTGTGGCTCACAGTAAGAAGCTAGCTGAGAAAACAGGTTTAGACCCTTTAATGCTTTATTAAGTCGCCTAAAATAAAAGTAATCTACCAGCAGTTTCCACTGTTCTTATGGCGGGATGTGATAAAAATGACAATTTTAATGGAGGTGTGTTGATGGGGAACTCTTACAGTAACTCCAAATACAAAACTGGATATGTTGCATACTGAGGTCCTTCCTGGCAGTCTCTTGTATTTGATGATATGCAGCTTCTCAATTGTGTGTTAACCTAATGGCTGATATCCAAATATTTATAGAAATTCAAATGAAATGAATAATTCATTTCATAAAAACAAGAACCATTTGGCCAAATCTCCAGTGGAACATTGATTGTTCCAGCCATGGATGGCATAATGTTTCTAGGAGAGGGATTGTGACAGGAAATTTAAATTCAACATAAAATCCAAAATACAAGCCAGGAACACTGCAACAAAATTCTTAAGACGGTGGAGCAACAAACTCCAACCAAAGAAAAACCTGAGTGGTTTTATACATATATAGAGTATATACAGTATATATATATATATATATGTAAAGCTTCTTATACCTGAACAGTAGCATGAGAGCCTGGAGGAAGGTACGGAAGTTGTTATGGTGATTAATAGCTGTTTCCACATTCAGTTCAATGTTGCCAAACACCTACAGCAGAAACACAGTGAGCTAAATGGATCTGTATCGTCTATCAGTGTGCAATTAATGTTTTCAACATTCAGGTGACATCATTTTACTGGTGAACACCGTTTAATTATCATGACCTTTGTGATAACAGCAGAAAGGCATCACACACCTGCATCCCAATGATGGCATAAATGAAGAACAGCATAGCAATCAACAGGCAAACATACGGCAGGGCCTAAAGGGAACAACAAAAAACAAAAACACACTCAATTATAAACTGAGTTATTCCAGGCATTTTTGTGTTTGTGTGCAGGGAGACACTACATGTATACATTTGTGAAAGTGTGCATGTGGATACTAGTATACAGTACATGCAATATGTATGTGCACTGTATGTCAGTGAGTGTGTGTGAGCACCTTAAAAGACTGGACGAAGGTCCACAGCAGGATACGGATGGTGTAGCCCTGTCTGAGCAGCTTAATGAGCCGAGCGGCTCTGAACAACCTCAGGAAGCTCAGGTTCAGAAGCCTGTCCTGTGAGACACAGACAGGACGTCTAGCACTTACCATCCAAATACTTGTATTACTCACTGATAAATGCACATGTAATAAGTCACTTGAGCTGGTTTCAAATTGTCAGCTGGTGACATGACAACCCCCTTTAACATGGAACCTTGACCAAAGACATATTAGGAGATTATTGGATTAATCTCGAGTTTGTTTCAGCATTTGTAAATTCAGTGGCATATTTATACATCAGGACTATAATTCTACAGTATCTCATGATGTAAAAGAAGCATTTGGCATGGACTAGGTTCAGGTTTTAAGCTTGTCCTAAAACAATACTGGCATGCCCGTCTGTACATTAAATGAATATGTACAATGGCTTTGGTGTTGCAGTAAGTTTACTGCCCATACTGGCTGAAAAGGCTTCTCAAAGCTATGTCAGTATAAGCAATAGAGGACAAAATCCACACTAAAGCACACAGAATATAGGGTTTCAGCACTCTGTGTTTGACGGATCACGTGGGGCTCCTCCACAGTTGTATTTTGTTACAAAATTCCTGTTGTTCAGCAAGAAAACACTTGGGGCTCTATTTTCCTGTAACAGGGCACAGTGTCTAAACTCCAGGCGCAAGGTGAATATGGGCGTGTTCAACAATGTTTTGCAATCTTGGTGACCACAGAAGCAGCGCACAGAGCACAACATGGTGAGCAGGTGGAGTTGGGGCTGGCTTTAGTTCTGTCCAATCAAACCAGCTGCTCTCATCTCCTTTAAAGAGCAGAGAAGAAACCTGACTGACTGATATCTCTGACATGAGGAAAAGGAAATTTTCTTTCCCTGTATCTTCTTCTCCTACCAGTTATATTCCATATTCTGAAATTGTGATGACAAAACGATTTATGCAGAAGTACTGCATACTCAGTATTCTGCTGATATCACTGCCCAGCTTTTGTGCATGAAAGAAAATCTCTCATCCTGTAACCAGCAGCAGTTATATAGAGTAATTTACTCACAGCTGCATCCAGTGTGCGAAATCCATAGGGGTCTCGCATTTAACCTTATAAACTTTCACTGTTTAAAATACTACAATATTGTAATCCCTGCATTTATGGTGAAACTGACTGTGGTTTGCCAGAACGCACAGCTAGTGGATGTGTCGGCCACTTTATCTCCACCTACAGCTGCTTTCAAAGCTGATCAAACAGCCATAAAATGCAAAAACAGACACAATATATATCCTCACTGTAGTGAAGACAGTACGTCTGTGTGAAACTTGTTCCTTTGAAGAAACTGTAACTTAACAGTGACAGCAGCCACAGTGAGGTGACTTGACCTGCTGGGTTACAGGATCAATCTGTCTGTCTGAGGGATGTTTGTTGTGTATCTTGGCTCATGAGCTGCTTTCATGTGTTTTTATGTGTAATTTTTAACATGGATATGGATTCCCAAACACTGACTGCAGATCACCTCTGAATGCTGTAAGAACAGACGGTGCATCCTGACACCCACCACTCTGTTTGACTACATTCATATGTGTAGCCACACAGCGAGGACTAGTTTATTTATCTTACATAATAATAATCTTTCTAAATTATCACACATACAGTATTTCAATTCTGCAAATTTCACAATAGCTATACAATTACTCAGGGTGAATATCAGCAGATCAGTTGTGATTTAAGGCTTAATTTTAAGTTGGTGTATCCATTAAAATACATTTAGGTATCTGATCCAGTCCTTCCCAGCCTACACACTTGTCGGCAAAACTGCAAATGTACCTGTGAAGTGATAAGAGCTGGTCTGAGCAGGTGTTGTCGTTATCGCTATTTTGGTTCAAAACAAGCACCAAAACTGCACTGCGCTGTCTAATTAGCAGACAGGTGGCCTTGGCTGCACCTCTCCTCCCACCTCAACGTAAGCACATTCATTCATGGCAGGAAAATACCAAACACCCCAATGTGCAACAAGAAGTAGACATGTGCTCGAGGAAAACTGCACTGCAAATGAGGTGACACAGGAAAATAAAGTCCTTATTGTCAAATGAATTACACTACACTACAGTACACAGAAGGTACATCTGCTGCTCCCATGCATCTAACCACACACACAGTGACACACACAGGTTTCATCTACTCTGTGTTAAAGGTGTCATTCAGTAAATTACACTAAAATGAGCATTGCTTGGCTGGAAAGAAAACCTGCTGACTCTTGGTCCATCATTAACCATGATCGCCTGCCCCTGCTCTGAAACATTCTCATACTGCGATCTAACCTTATTATAACATGCCGCAGTGACCAGAAACAAGCTGTAGCGACCCACTGTAAACAAACCCAACTTTGGACCAAAGAGCACACTGCTGATTCAACATTTCAATCATCACAGTTAGAGTGGTACTGCTGAGCTTGAGAGAACAGTAGTGTGTGCTGCTGGAGGAGCTTTGTGGAGTCTGAGAAATAACCATGATGATATATCTTTAGTGTAATTTTAGTTTGAGCTTGGATGCAACAAAATAGAAAGCCTGTTACACACTGGGTTGCCTGTTTGAAAGGCATGGCTGTTTCCAGTGCAGTGAGGGTCTGGCAAAAGACGCTATAAAGTTGCATTATGGGTGACACTTCCTGTGATACCCTACACCTCCCAGTGACAAAGTAATGGATTTTTGTCATTCAGGCATATATTTATGTTACATAACTTTTTACTGACTGTAATATTTAAGACAGGGAGGATGAAGATGGTTCTCTTTTCCCCTACAGTCTTCATCAGTGAGGGATTTTAAAACTTATTTTACTGATGATGCCTTAACTAATGACCATATGAGGACTGCATGTCCCCCTCTACAAGTGAAAATGGTCTCATACTCACTATTTTCTTTTATTAGACAGATTTTATTTTCAAGCCCCTTATGATCAGACTAAGATCAAGTCCCGTGACGTCGCCCGGCATGGCGCAGCCGGGGCCCCACCCTGGAGCCAGGCCCGGGGTTGGGGCTCGAATGCGAGCGCCTGGTGGCCGGGCCTCCCCCCACGGGGCCCGGCCGGGCTTAGCCCGAA